TTTTAATTTGTAATGACTAATGAGAAACTAATTAAAAAGTAAAATAATTGAAATGGGATGAATCACATCCGGAAAGGAATAAGAATGCAATTCAACGGGATAATTCAAAAGAGGCGGCGGCTGACTTGCTGGCGCCGCTTTAAGGAACGGCCGTTTCCGTGATTTCACCGGCATTAAGATTTTGTTTTTTGAATATCCAGACGACGACCTGAAATCCCAAAAATCGATCGGATCGGAATATGGAAGCGTTGAACGAGGAGGAAGAGTACAACTGGAGGGAAGTGAAGCTTCCGTCGCTGATACCGGTGGTTCCGCCGCCTGAACTGGACAGGGAGACCGGAGAGCGGCGGAGAGGCCGAGACATAATCATCGCCATCGATCATGGCCCCAACAGCAAGCACGCCTTCGATTGGGCCGTTGCTCATCTCTGCCGCCTCGCCGATACCATTCATCTCGTCCACGCCGTCTCCAGTATGGTTTTTCTCTCTCTCAATTTCAATTCTTCTTCTTGTCATTCATCAGCTCTTCTAACCATTACATAAATCTGCGTGCTAGACTTGAGAAATGAGATTGTCTACGAGATGACCCAAGGGCTCATGGAGAAGCTTTCTGTGGAGGCTTTTGAGGTTGCAATGGTAATAATTTGGCTTAATTTCACTTTTCATTCAACATTAGTGACATTTTTATTTAGGTCAAGCTATGATTTTTTTTTGTTGCATTTCTACTAAATTTTGCGGAATTCGGCGGAAAATATCTGATGTGTAGGTTTGAAATGCAGCCCCCAATTTTTGTTAAATTTTTTCATCCACTCGTTGAAATGCAGCCCATCTATTTGTGATGAAACTGTGGATAGAATTAAGAGCAAATGTTGTATTGGATTTCTCATTGACATAGGCCTTGTTTGGGAACAGTGTTTTTTATTAACATTACTGTTTTGGATAAAATTTTAATGTTGTGGATTAATTCTGAAAATGCTAACGCTAACCTCTAACACTGATGCCAAACGGGGGCATAGACTTGCAATCAAGAGTTGTTTTGTTATCCAATTGTTTATTGAATTGAAACATATGGTGTGCTTGATATCACATAGAGCTGGCATTGAGAATTTACTGCTTCCTGGTTACCCCCGTCCTCTGAAGTCCGCCTATATATATCTTATGTTAATGTATGAAGGTTAACTTTAAATAAACCAGTACTCGTAACAGGTACAACATGTTTGGCTCTCGCGGGTGTTAAAATTGGTAGTATTTGTGTCAATAGTATGATCATATGATTTTTGGTTTTTGACTTCCAAAATCAATAAAAGTAGAGCATGTTTTGGTAACAGGTAAAGACACAGGCTAGGATTGTGGAAGGAGACGCCGGTAAGGCTATATGCAAGGAAGCCGAAAGGTTGAAGCCTGTAGCTGTGGTTATGGGTACTAGAGGAAGAGGCTTAATCCAAAGGTATACTTCGTACTATTTATGCATTCTCCTCCTCTAAAAGGCTACTCTTTCGGAACTCGGAAACTGGAAACTGGTCGGGTAAGGAAAAAGAAACTAAACAATTAAACAAAAATGAGTTTGAACAAACAACTTAGTTGTGGAAGGTGAACATGTCATGTCCTCGAGAGTTTCCTTCCATTTCTTCTGGAGCCATTTCCGAGTTCCAAACGGATCCGAAGTGTTATTATGTCATTTATCTGCATTTATCATGACATGGCTGGGTTAATTTCATGTTTTTCATTTCATTTCAGCGTCTTGCAAGGAAGTTTTAGCGAGTATTGCTTTCGCAACTGTAAAGCAGCGCCTGTGATCATAGTACCTGGAAAAGGTATATCATTTAGAACCAAACATGTTATGCTATATTGTTTGCTTTTTCCAAGTTTACATGTTTGGGAACTAGAATTTGGATTTTAAATCTGGAATTGGCTCAAATTCTATGTTTGGGAATCTTAAAATTTTGGATTTGAGGCAAATTCCTCAATCATTTCAAAGCTCAATTGCAAATCTATGTATGTCTCCCATTGTCATTGAAATTCAAGAATTCAAAATTTGGATTTGAAATGAATTACTAGTTCCCAAACACTACCTTATAGAATTTATTAAAACTATAAGATTGCCGTGCAAACGACAGATGCTGGAGACGAATCGGTGCTTTAGAGGACCCGACCTTCAAATTTAAAGTCCCAACACACGATTATGTGATCGATGAGATGAATCGTGTATGCGTGTGTATACATGGAGTGATGGAAGATTTATCAATGTATTAGTGCAGCATTGGTGTATGGTAATATGGGTATATACGTATCATATATTGTATCTATTCGATTAAGATTGTTTCTTTAAACCACTGAACTTTGTGCAGTTTTTATCGTGTTTGCATGTTTTATTCTACAAATTTTCTCTTTGTAAATAAAAAACTCCGAATGTGTGTACATATACGGAGTATTTTGTTATGAAAACAACTAATCATTACTCTGTATAAATTTTTTGTTTATCCCCAAACAAGGATATCATTAATTGTATTCCTAATAATTAGCTATCAACGAATAAATTTAAGGGAATGATCGTTTTAAAATATTGAATGTGCAAAAGTCAAAGTACATTACCATGTTTTAATGGACTAATCTCCGCGTTAGTATTGATTAGGTAAATGTGCAAAGGAAATTAGTACTATCTCCGTCCCAAATTATTTGCCACATTTGTTTTTTTAACGGTCGCAGGAATTTTTGTTTATTTCTACATTTTCATTAGTTATTTGATAAAATAAAATATTCTTGACACCTCTTATTTCGAAGAACTTTTCATATAGTTTTTTGATATATAATTTTTATTTTTTATTTCTTTACCAATATGTAAATAAAATGAATTGAAAAAACTTGATATTTTGCCTCGGTAATAAAAATGTGACAAATAATTTGGGACGGAGGGAGTAAGCAAATTCATTGGGAAAATTATGTGGTCGTGTATCGTGGTATGCCATTTTTAACGATTCGGTTCGGTATGAGATTAATATTGTATGAATCCCCACTTTGAAATATCGATTTTGATACAAATAAGTATAGATACATTCAAACGTATTTTACACTTTAAATTGTAAAAGACACTTTTTTTTAAATGAAAAACACATTAACCAAAAAAATAAATAAGTTAATGCAGGAAATGCTTGCGAAATTTAGTTATTTACAAACTAAAGAAAATTTCCAACCCTACTCTCTCGTGCAATCTAATTGGATTGTTGTTGTAAACTAAAAATAATAAAATAATATTTTAAATGTTTTTTAATATTTTTTAAATTCATCTATAAGGAATTAAATTTGAATAAATGTACAAATTGTACATAATAAAATTTAAACAAATTTCATTAAATTTTTTCTTGTTAAAATCAGATACTCCCTCCGTTCCTAAATAGATTACAATTTTTTTCTCTCCTCTCGATAACTTTTGTTTGTTTATACGATTTCATTAAGTATTTGATAAAATAAAATATTCTTGTCACCTCTTATTTTATATCTTATTGATATACCAATTTGTAAATAAAGTGATTTCAAAAAGTAGAAAATTTTACTCCGTAACTCGCAATTTGTAATCAAATTAGGGACGGAGAGAGTATATGTGTAAAATATACTCCTCCCATCATACTTTCTTCTTAAATTGTCTATCTTGCCCCCCCCCCCTCTTAAATGCACGAAACCCACCCTCTACCACCCATATGGGTAAATTAGACCATTTCCACTATTTTTAATCCAAACCTTGATATTTGTGTCAAAAATCAAGTGGACAAAGAGAGTAACAAATATTTACTCCATTGGTGATTGTGTGTAAAATGAGAGGTGGGACAAAATTTGTATTTGTTTAAATAAACCAATTACTCATGTTGAAATTTTAGAAAAAGGACGAAACTCATTCCTGAAGACTTCCTCAGATCCGGTCGGATGATCACAGAAGAATTTAAATTTGACTTTGATAATAATTTAGTGGTAAAGAGTAGAGTATGCACCGAATACTTACCGAGACACTATTTTAACTGTCCAAATGTCAGATCGAATTTCATCGTATCCCTTTGACACTTCATAAAAACACTAGTCTCATCATCATATCCATTACCAATAACCACCCAAGAGCGAGGTGGATTTGATTCTCGACATAACTGTGGCCATGGAGAAAATATATAACAACTGCGCTAGTGGTACTACTTAGTACTTCTTCCGTCCCAATGTATTTGTCCAGTTTGATTTTTCCGAGTCAAACTAGACAAACTTTGAGTGTCAATTAAATAAAAATCGTAATGTATTTTAACATAAAAATGACTTTATTGGATTTATCGTATTGAAAACTTTCAAAATTGTATTTCATTATGCTAATATGCAATATAAATTGAGAGTAATTGAAATTCAAAATTTATCCAATTTGACTCGAAAAAGTCAAATTGGACAAATAGAACGGAGGGAATGTAGTAGTTCTCAAGTAGTGAACCCCCGCTCCAGTTCCAGCTCAGCAGTCAGCAGTAGTAGTGACTCACTTTCTGGCATCCTCCAACAACAACCCTGTAGCTGTACTTTTGGGGGAATTATTAACGCCCCCAACAAAAAGAACCACCGCGCACGGCGGGCGGGCGGGCGGGCCACGCCCGAACCGCGTTTTGCCAGCCTCTATTTACCCACCCCCCACCGCAAAAGGAAAATCCTTTCCTCCCCTTTCCTTTCAAGAAAATGTCAAGAAACCAATACAAAACTTTTCTTTTCCTTTCCGTTTTCAATCTTTTTTCCATTCATCCCCCCACATACACACAACAAACAAACACACTCTCCAGCCACTTCTTGATCTGAACCATTGGCTTTCTCTCTAAAACCCCAATCTTTGACCATTCTTTTTAGTCCCCCCCCCCTCTCTCCCTCTCTCCCGTCAACGCAAGAAGCTGCAAGAAATGCACAAGACACAGAGATAGAGACGAAGAAGAAGGAAGAAGAAGAGTTTTGATTCTACTGTTCAAGAAGTAGTATCAGAGCTTCTGATTCATTCCCATTCTTCAAAGGTATCTTTTGTCCTTATCCCGAGAATCCCCTAATTTTGTCTCTTGCATAAACGCCCATTCCCACCCTCGTCCCGCCGCATCTCTCTGCACATATTCTTGCCCACGCCCACTTGTGTATGAATGTGAGGGAAGGAGGGGAGATTTGAAGGTGGGGAGGAAAATGGTGCGGCGACTGTGGAGAGTGGTTTGGGTTTTGGCGTTCCTGTTGCTGGTTGACTTTACATTCGAGCAGTTGTTGAGTTCAAGAACTGAGAGATTTGCTTTGCTGCAATTGAGGTCATCCTTAGGGCTTAGGGCCAGAGAGTGGCCTGTAAAGGTTGGCCCTTGTTCGGGATGGGCTGGTGTTTCTTGTGTGAATGGTAGTGTCGTGGGGATCAACATTAGCGGGTTCAAGCGCACCCGGAAAGGAAGTCGAAACCCTCGATTTTTGGTGGATGCCTTACAGAATTTAACCATGTTGACATCTTTTAATGCATCATTGTTCTTGCTTCCTGGCCCCATACCGGGATGGTTTGGCCTTAAAATGAGTTCTCTTCAAGTTCTTGATCTCACATCTTGTTCCATTAATGGTTCTTTACCAGCCTCCCTTGGTAACTTGACTAGTTTAACACAGCTTCATTTGTCGCGCAATGGACTTACCGGGACGGTTCCTTCCAGTTTGGGTGAATTGCCCAACCTTTCTGTTCTTGACTTGTCACATAACTCACTAAATGGGGCGATACCTCCTTCCTTTGGGGCTTTGTCAAAGTTGAGATTCTTGAATCTGTCTGGAAACAGTTTTTCTTCTTCAATACCTTCTGAAATAGGCAACCTGTATAGTCTCACTGGCCTTGATCTCAGCCACAACTCACTCTCTGGGTCCTTGCCTGCTAGTGTATTCCCTCCTTTAACTAAGTTGAAGTTCCTGGTAATGGGTCATAATAATTTCACCGGCTCCTTTCCTGCCGCATTGTGGTCAATGCCTTTGCAATTCTTGGATGCGTCTGCCAATAGATTTACGGGCAGCCTGCCTAACATCACTCTCACTGCCAGTGCCCCCACTACATTTTTTGACCTTTCACAGAATGAGTTTTATGGGTATCTCACCACTGTGGTTCAGGGATTCAGTTTCATTGATCTGTCTGGAAACTATATTGAAGGTAAAGTTCCTACATATGTGCATGGGAATGTGTCTATAAGCAGAAACTGCCTCCAAAATGTGAAAAATCAAAAGGGTGGGAGTGAATGTGGTTCGTTCTACAAGGCGAGGGGGCTGGTGTTTGATTCTGGGCAGCCAAACGCCACCCAACCTCCTCCTCTTCCTCCAAGACACAATAAGAGCCACAGAAAAACAATTATATTGGCTGCTGTGTTGGGTGGTGTTGGTTTAATAGCCGTCATATTAATTTCAGTCGTGCTGCTGATGATATGCGCACGCAAGAATACAGCAAGTCAAGGGGGTACGGGGGTGGGACCCGCCCCTACAACCTCTACAACCTCATCAAGTCCTCCTCCTCCTCCTGGGTTGTCACTGAACCTTTCAAGTCTAGGAGATGCATTCACTTACCAGCAGATTCTTCAAGCCACCTCAGATTTCAAAGATGAAAACTTGATGAAGCATGGACATTCTGGCGATCTTTTCAGAGGTTTGTTAGAGGGTGGGGTCCCTGTGGTCATAAAAAGAATTGATTTGCAGTCTGTGAAGAGGGAGGTGTACTTGGTGGAGTTGGACTTCTTCAGCAAGGTCTCACACACAAGAATAGTCCCTCTTTTGGGACATTGCTTGGAGAATGAAAACCAGAAGTTCCTGGTGTACAAATACATGCCGAATGGAGATCTCTCGAGTTCTTTGTTCAAGAAAAATGATTCGGATGATGACAGTTTACAGTCACTTGATTGGATAACGCGGCTCAAAATTGCAATCGGAGCTGCTGAGGCTCTGTCATATCTGCATCATGAATCTACCCCTCCCCGTGTGCACAGGTCTCTTTTAAAGCTTCTGTGTGCCATCTTTTCTTGCTCTTTATCAAAGCTTCTTTTTTTTCCGCATACTTAATATTAAAGTACCTAGTATTCTGATGCACTAAGCCACAAATATATACTGTATATTTTTTTTGTTTCACTCTTTTTTTTGTGGCATGGATATTTTTCTCTTTCTTTGATACTAAATGGCTATGGGTCTGTTTGGAACCCGGCAAATGCCAGGGAAAGAAAATAAAGCGGAAATTAAGAAGGAAAGACAATTCAATAAATGTATTTTCTTTTGTATTTTGACTATTTCCCAAAACCTTGGACGTGGAAATTATTATGTTGAGATAGATTATATAACATTGGAGTTGATTTTGATGTCTTCATAGGTGAGTAATGATTGGCATAGGATGTTGCTTTGGTTTTCATGCTTAAGTGGCTCTTAGGAAGTTCTCTAGCCTTTTTAAGAAGGGCTTAAAGCCTTACGGTTATCATCTGTGATATGGCGCGTTCAAGATATTGTTCAAAACCTTACTCAGAGCCAAGATGCAATAATCACCACTCACTCTTTAGCCACGCTTATTGAAAACTTGAAAAAAAAGAGAGTAGCAAATCCAACGTAAATGTTACTGATGTGAAAGGAATTAAGAGAAAAAGCTACTGTTTAATGTGTTTACTTTGTCTGTACTCCTGTGTTGGACCTTTAAATGACTCCGTGTTTATTTCTCAATGGTTAAACAGAGATGTTCAATCCAGTAGTATACTGCTGGATGATAAATTTGAAGTGAGATTAGGGAGCCTAAGTGAAGTTTGTGCACAAGAAGCCGATCCTCATCAAAGTAGGATTTCCCGGTTTCTGCGACTCCAACAGTAAGTAATATCACTGTTTTTCTTTCTTGAAACGTTGTTTTGTTAGATAAAACTTTGTGGTGGGTGGTAGTATTGTCATCGTTTGTTTGTCGCCCGAAAATGTTGTATACTTTCCAAGACACAAATAATCTTAATTCTTGATGTCTGTCTCTCTGCATCCAACGATTCAAAGAAATTGGCCTTGCTAATTGATCACATATGATGCCGACCTTCATTTTAATCCCTCCACCCCAAACTACAAGTCTCGTGCTTTTGGTGTGGGGTTTTAATGGAAAGTGAAATGCAATTAACTTTCCCATTTTGTCCTTGGAGCGGGACCAACTATGAAAAAAAACGACTCAAGACGTTAACAAAGTTAACTAGTCAATGGTGTCCAAAGTTGGGAATGTAGACATTGTTTTGGAACAAACTAAAAACGAAAGTATGACAGTTTTAACAGGGACCGAGGTAGTACTGTTTTTAAAAATTCTTGATTATTCTTTTGGTTTTTATGTATCTTTTCGTGATTTCTTCCCATATATGTCCGTGTGAATTGAAAGCGGGAACTTAAAAATAAACACTTGCATGATTAATTATGTATACAAGAACATTGTTAATTCCATTTTCTTTGTTGTTTGCAGAACATCAGATCAGTCATCTTCAGGTATTACTCAGCCAAAAGTCTTGATCTTTTCCTCTTTACATGAAAAAAAATTCACAGGTTTCCATGTTCTTGATATTTTTTCTTTGAATATGTTTATCGTCGCTTCAAATGGTCAGGCTCACATTCGGCTTCGTGCACGTACGACGTGTATTGCTTCGGGAAGGTTTTGCTTGAACTGGTGACGGGCAGACTGGGCTTGAGTGGGCCCGACGGCGACGGGAACGCCAAGGAGTGGTTAGACCGGATACTGCCGTACATCAGCATATACGAGAAAGAGTTGGTGACGAAGATAGTGGACCCCTCGCTGATAATCGACGAGGACCTGTTAGAGGAGGTGTGGGCCATGGCGATCGTGGCGAGGTCGTGCCTCAACCCCAAACCTTCGCGGCGACCCCTCATGAGGTACATCCTCAAGGCGTTGGAGAACCCGCTGAAGGTGGTGAGGGAAGAGCACAGCGTGGCGGCGGCATCGGGGTCCGCGAGGCTCAAGGCGGCCGCTTCCTCGTCCCGAGGGTCGTGGAATGCCGCCACCCTGTTCGGCAGCTGGCGGCAGAGCTCTTCGGACGTGCGCCCGAAGGCGCACGAGGGGACCGCGGGCAGCTTCAAACGGTCCAGGACTTCGGGTTCGCAGGGGAGCGGGCCGAACAACGGGGAGGGAGGAGCAGGGGGAGGGGGGCATTCGTCTTCGAGCAGGCGGTCGAAGGAGATATTTCCGGAACCTCTGGAGGAGGACGGCGGCGGGAGGCCGGCGGAATGAGTAGTGAGGAGGCGGTGTTTGATTGATTCATTGGTTGTTGTTAATAACAGAAACTCACAGCAGCTTAAGCTCCACATTTATGGCAGCTTTGCTCCCCCCCCCTATTGTTTTTACTGTTGTATGTACATTCTACTCTTCATTTTTTTTTGTGGTGCTGCCAAAATTTCTTTTTTATTTTTTAATACTAATTTTGTTTTAGATTTTGGGGGTTGTGAGGGAAATGCTTGATTAACTAACTACATTCATTCAAATATGAGAAATGATAACGATGCATTTTTAGTTCATCGCGATGCACATTTATGTTGGCAATGCATATTTTATGCGACGTTAACAAAGTTTAACTCCTTTGGGGGTAGGGAAGTTTAACTTTTTTTTTATAGAAATCTCGTTGCGATTTTTTCATATTTTTGACGTTTTAATGCCCGTTAAGCCTCTAATTCAATGCTTCGTGTGCATTCTGATTTTTTATTAACACTATTCTCACTTGATCCTATATATTATTGGATATCCATAACATTTTCGCAAAAAAAAAAAAGAAGGAAAATCATGAAAAAAAAGCACTTAATTAAGAAAGATGAAAGGTCCCACCGAGAATTGATCCCGGGTTACTGGATTCAGAGTCCAATGTCCTAACCGCTAGACCATGGGATCTTATTGTTGATACCTCTTATTTTAGTTTAAATAACCATAACTTTCAACGCGTCAAGAAACATCATAGCGTGACACGTCATAGTCCCCCCCTATTGAAATTAATTTCTCCTTTCTATTCTGGTGTCATTCTTTACACGATAAAATTGTATAGTTGATTTTATTTTTGTGAGTAATGCTAGGGGTACACCATTTTGGTGTACCCCAAATGTACACCACCCTCTTTTTCTTCACACATTTTTATTTGATTTTTATTTACTTAATTTTTTTGAATTTTTTTGCCCTTTTTTTGTGGACAAGGAGGGGGTGACATTTTTCTATTTTTGTCTCTGCTACATGAATGACAAACACCATCACACATTTCTAATTTTTCCTAAACTCTCAGTAGAAAAATGAGAGTTTGATTCTATGGAGTTGGTGTGAGTACCTGAGAATATATACAAATCTTATAACAACTTCATCGTTTAACTTAAGCGTTTCGTCAAGTCTATATAATCAGTTTTTAACTACTCTGTATAATATTTTCAAACTTAATCTATGTCATCAAAAAAATTTTGAAACAAAAAAAGAATTATTTAATTGAAAATACATTAATCTCAAACAATGCCTATACTCTCTCCTCTTACATATTCCCTCCGTTCTTGAAAAGCGTTCCACTTTTGATCAAGTGGTAAAATAAAAAAGTGTTACTCAATTGAATTCCAATTTTGTTCTTGATATAATGGGTAAAAGTAAGATGTGATGGATAAAGTATTAGAGGAAACGTATGATATACTACGTAATAGGTAGGGTAAGAAAAAAATGGGTAAAAAAAGTTTTTTAATAGAAAGTGGAAGTCTTTTATTAAAAGTGGAAAAAAATGAAAGAGTAAATATTTTTTAGAACGGAGGGAGTATTAGGTTTAAAATTGAGAAAATTCTGCTGGAATTTTTGTCTCATGTCAATTTTTGGGCGTTTGGATCATCCTTTTCCAACAAATTCATTGTAGTTTGTGACTTGCCACTTTCTTTTTTATTTCGAAATTTATGCTACATATTTTACATAGAACATACTGCAGAGGTCTGGTTTGGTTGGCCAATCCCAACTACAGAATTACAGTTGCAGAACAGTAGCAAAGGAAAAAACAAGAAAAATGTTTGAACTTTGAACACAAAAGTTTGCCCACAAATCTTGATCTCTTTTGAACTTCTCAGCCAGCCTGCAGAAAACATTAATGTAGAGTATATCTTCGTATTTCATGCATTTCAAACAAAACCCTTACATCGATAATGGTCTCAAACGGGTACAAAACTCATGTTGTTGTTGGGAGGACATCATCGTCCTTGCCATCTCGGCATAGACATGACCGAAGTGGAAGCATTTTCCATCCTGTGCAGATCGAGCTGTCAGTATAGCCACCAAAACGAAAGAGAAAAAAGAGACATATCTCAACCAAGCGGGGGGGGGGGGGNTCGACTGCCTTAACCACTTCTATAGAGCTTGTCTCAATCACTTGACCCCCTAGTATAATCTCATCTAGAATAGCATGCACCTGCAAAATTTGTTATCAGGATTCCGAAGAGACCATTGAATAATACTCCGTACTTTTCATAAGAAATGCACTAACCTTGCTAAAGTTGAATACTACATCGAGTTCACATACATTGCCAAAGCACTTGTCCAGTGTCTCAACAAAAACTGAAATTTCAAAAATCATACAAAAGCACTTGTCAAGGTAAAAACCGCAGTAAAAGAACAACCCATTAAGATGCCACAAGGAGAATATATAAATGGTTTAGAAACCCGAGTTGTGAGCATGCAGAGAATCTAGTTCGGAAACTTAACGGTGGGAAAATAAACTTTGCATTTCGTAGGTATATACCTTGCATCAGATCTAGCATTGCCAACTCGTTCTCGCAGCTATCAAAAACGAAGATCACATGCAGTGTGGCGTAAGTCTTATATACAAGCCGAGCATCCTGTATGAGAGAGCATATGAATATGAATATTGTGACTCGATGTATTTTCAACTCAATTTAAGGAAAAAAGACTAAAGTATGAGTAAAACATAGAAAATATACCAAACCTATTTAGGTGATAAAAACATGGAGCTCATATTTTGGTACTTTCTCTATGTTTTACTCCTATTTAGAGTGTTTTCTTCTCAATAATCTAGTTAAAAATTGGTTTACAATTGAAATATAAATTCATATTCAAAATTTACATAAAAAAAGACGTGCCATACAAGAGGTAACAATGGTAAACTAGTTTGTCAAATAAGTAGTGAAAATTCATGAAAAATGAAGTCAAAGTTTCACCGAATAGCAAACGTGAATTTCTTTTGGGGACACGGCGAGTATATGGTTTAGATCTCTATATAAGGAGTATTCATCATATTGTGACTTTTTTTCACGAGGAAAAATAAAGCAGAGTGAACCATTTGCAGAACCAATCACGAAAAAACCCACCGATCCAAACAGCGAATCGACCATGACAAAGTTGCTCACATTCTCAGGTCTGCTACACAAGACTGCAACACCACGTTATTCGTTAATGAGTAAATTCCATAAATGATCCCAAATTAGAGGTGGTCTTCTATATTTAGTCTTCAATTCTAAGAAATTTCATAAATGATCCTCAATTTTAGAAAATTATTCCATATTCGGTCTTTGAGTGACTATATGTGGATAGAATATTGTCATATTTGGCCTAAAGGACTATTTATGAGAGAATTTTTCCAAAAAAACTGAGAACCATTTATGTAATACCTTAGAATCCTAGACTAGATACGGAAAACCACTTGTAATTAGGATACATTTATGGAATTTACTCTTCATTAATTAATGGAGTGCATCCAAAAGCAATTTCTTGGATTAGGATCCACCAAAATGATCAGAAATCTATGGGCACGAAGATGGATGGTGCTGGGGAAAACGAATCAATTCAAACAGATTGTTCTAAAATGGAAGATGAAATTAAAGCAAACCTCCATGGATTTTCCGAATCAGCTCGTGCTGCTTCTCCACGGGCTGAGGATTATGAAAATTGAAAGCAACGATCGAACAAATTGAGAAATTAAAAAGGGAGAAAACAAAAAGAGAATAATTTGATTTGGGGTTCAGGAGGTACTGACCTGGTACTCGTAAAATTTCACGATTCGAGGTTTCCCTTTGTTGTTCATCAGTATCACTGCTCGTATCATCTTCACGGGATGATTCTGTCGGAATTTTCTCTCTTTCGACGGTGTAGCGGCAGCGGCAATCAGGCAGGAAAAGATGAGGATTTCGGGTAGGAAATGAGTGAGGCGAGATACAAATAAAAAAAATAACGAAATGGAGCCTAAGTACCCCATTACAATTTTATTTTCTCTTTTCTCTATAATTATTTGTATGATTTTATTGATTATTTATTTAAATAAAATATTTTTGTCATATCTTATTTTGTAGAAACTGTTATGTAATTTTTTAACATGTAAATTTTATTTTTTACTGATGTACTAATTTATAAATAAAACGATTTCAAAAATCATGGAATTTCACCTCATAATTCCTATTTGATTATTAAAATAAGGACGAAGGAATATTATTAACGAAATTGGAAGATATTAATTAAATGAGATGGGTGATCTTTGATAAATAGAGTATATTGAAGTAATTGTTAGAACTACTACTTTAAATTCTTGATAAATTTTATTTGTTTGCATATTTTTGTTAATCATTTGATAAAATAAATTATTTTCTCAACAATTGTTCACACGGTTAACTTTTATGTATTTTCTTACTTATTTTCATTAGCTTGTTTGTAAAACTTTTAATTTAATTTTTAAATGTATAAATTTATTCTTAAATTTTACACTTCGAATCAAATAAATAGCTTGTTTGAGAATATCATTAGCACTTTTGACAAAATTTTAATAGTGTACATTGACTTTAAAAATTTTAATAGTGTACATTGATTTTTCAAAACGTTAATGCTAATCTCTAATACTATTCTCAAACAGGTCTAAAATAAATTGAAAAATAAAATTAGTCAAACTGTAGAAACTGAAACACAAACCTAATCTTAGAATGAAGTAATATAGAGTATGATCTTAGGTTTATTTTTAAAGAAAATAGGGTAAGAGAAAATGAGTAACATATATATTTTCTCTTATTTTGTTAAAACTTTTAAAAGAGAAAAGAAATTAAAAGGAAGTATATGTTTTATAACAAAAACTTTTTCCCTATGTTAATGAATTTCTCTGTCCATTATTAAAAATTCACAATAATTTTGTTTATTAATTCTTTTTCATTTCTTGTTTGATTAAATAAAAATACTCCATATTATTTTATTTATTGTTTTGAAATTTTTTGATTAACTATTTTAAGTGTGTAAATTATAATTTTACTTGTATATCAATTTTTAAATAAAATAAATTAAAAAAATATAAAATTTTTCTTTGTTTTATTTCAATTGTTTTAAGATTTGATAATTTTCTCTCTTAGGGGTATATTCAATCAAGAATCTGTAAGATTTTTTTTTATTTTAAAGGTTAGTGAGTATTAAATTGAAATTTTAAAAAATCATTTAAAATTTGAGAGTATTCAATCTAGATTTTAAAAAATTATTTAAAATCTGAAAGTATTCAATATAGATTTTAAAATGTCTGCTAAAATCTAATGGTATTAGATAATCTATAGATTTTAAAAGATTTTTATTATGTTTGGATTTTGAGGTTATTTTTCTCAAGAAAATTAATTTTACAAATCTATGAAAACATCTAGAGATTTCAATGGATTTGGTGGTAAACATGGAATAAGCCGGCTGATTTGCGCAATGATAAAAAAGAAGCCAACTGACTTGCGATCGGCGGTGGACTGAAACATACGTTCGTCGGCAGGGACGGTGGACGGGGATGGAGACGGGGAAGAAGAAGAAGGGGAAATTGAAGAAAGAGGAGAAACCGGCGTCCAGGACGGGCAGCAATGGCACGCATCGGACCCCCCACGCCGCAGCCGGCGTCCAGGATTCGGTCGCCGGCCTTCACTCCGAGCAGATCGACGGCCATCTCTTCGTGTATTCAGGTCGCGTCACGATGGGATTTCCCCTGGATGGAGGGGGAGACGTGGAAGGATTGGCCCCAACCCCACTCGTAAATGTCCGTGACGAGGTTGTAGAAGGTGTCGACGAAGGGGGGGGGACCGTGTCGGCGGTTTCGATCTCCTTGGGCGTCGGAAAAAAGGACCAGTACATTATCCATGTTGATGGAGCCGGCGGAGACAGGAGGAACGGAGGAGAGATGAGGAAGATGGAAAAGGAGAAAGAAAAAGAAAGAAAAAAAGAAAGAAGAAGGGACGCACGATGAAAAGATGAGAAACAGAGAAAGAGAGGAAAAGAGAGGAGAATAAAAAAAGTAATAATGGATAATAAACAATCATACAAAATTCTACTTCACTCCCACTCCGTTCCACAAAACCCTTCCCCTTTAGTTTTTTTTGAATTCTCTAAAACACTTCCGCTTTCTATTAAAAAACTACTTTTGCCCTTACTTTTTCATACCCTACCTATCACATCATACTTTTTCACTAATAATCAAACTATCACATCTTACTTTTACCCATCACATCATGGGCAAAATTGGAAAGTCAACCAAAATTACATTTTCTTTATTTTTACCAAAAGTCAAAAGTGGAAGGGTTTAATGGAACGGAGGGAAATACATCAAAATCTATCGAACTCTACCGTTGATTTTATATAATTTATAGATTTTAAACAAGTAAAATTTGCACTAAATAGGACTAAAACATAATGACTTTCCTAATGTAAGACTTAAATGTTTTTATTCCCTAAATAGGACTTAATAATGACCTATTGGAAGGAATAATGTCCAGCAATGATAGACATTTAGTTGAATAATGACTACTTGATAATGACCAAAGGTCATACATTGGGAAATAAAAACATATGGTCTTAAATTTCTCTTTAAACAATTTATCAAAATCTTTTAAAACCTGAATTGAATAAACCCATTTTAATGTTCTTTTTTGCCATTTTTTTTCCTTTATCTTCATCTTCTTTTTCTCATTTTGATGCATAACACAGTATCATCAACTGAAAATTGGTAAAACTCTCGATCGGAGATGCTTAGCCCGCTTCAGCTCCACCGTTTCCCCGCCACTCCATGCCTCGAAGACCACTGTCGCCCCAATTCCCCGGCGCCGTTCCACCTCCTCGCCGCCGCTTGCAAACGCCGGCGTCTCTTCCCGAGCTCCTCAATCTGCAACTACTACCACGAAAATAGTCAGAAAACCCAAACTAACACTACCTTCGCTCTGTTAAACGATGAAGCTGGTGGTACTCGAAAGCACAGTTCGAAATCGGCCTCTACGCTCCTCCCCTCCCCATCTCTCAAGCAATGTTCGGAATCAGAACCACCGCCCGGATTTTCTGCGGTGGCGGAGAATCGAGTGCCTTGGGTAGAAGATGAAATGGAGCTTCTAGAATTGTCACTGATGAGAAGAACCCCTCAATTTGCAGGATCAATTGTAGATGTTAATGCTTCATCGTCACCTTTTCGCACCCTAATTGATGATCAAAGTGGCAATGATGAAGAGGGGATGCTTATTAAAGCCCTAGAGATACGCAGGAGAGTCACCACTGAGATTTTCATGGAGGCAATGGCAAAGGGCAAGTTCGGGATATCTTATTCAAGAAATTTAGTATCCAAATTGTCCGATTACATTGATCATGTAATGATTCAGGCTGCTTCAATGAAGAAAATGCCTAAATTCTGGCAGTCATCCTTCAATTCTCGAGTTAGGGCATTCATAGATGATTCTGAACTTGTGCCAATGATAAGGTACATTTGACTAAAGTTATTTTTAATTCAATTTATTTTATAATTTGTGTAGAATTTAAAAAGTACATATATAATTGGTGAAGAATTAAAAACTACTGGTATATCAAAACTTCTACAAATCAAGCTAGCTGTGATTAAAACTATTTTATTTGATCGAATGGTCAATGAAAATATGTAAGGAAAGAGGATATGATGTTAATGTGTGGATAATAAGGTGGAACATTATTTTGGAATGGGTGCATTTGCTAAGGAAAATTTTCTTGTTATTGGTTCTCTTGAAAAATGCAGTTAGAAAAAAAATGTGATTAGTTTTTTCAAAATTTTTTACATGTTTTTGATCTCCCCTACATTGTTTTTCCTTCCATTTATTCCAACATATGTTTTCTTTGGTGTTTCTCAGTCATACTCCATAGTATTTTCCGTGTTCCAATTGGACCCTACAATTCTGGTCATTTTTTAAAAGTTTGTTCTGCTGTTTGCCGGTTTTTTCTTCTTGATGAAACATTATTATTAAGCATTTTACCGTGACTGACTATAGGTGGTTGAAACAAAACTCATTATCATTTCCTCAAATCGGGAACCTAATCTGTAAATCAAGAGGAGACGTGATGTACATAAGGCGGTTAGTTGAGTGGCTAAATTCAGTTCAGGTGGAGGGGAGATTCATTGGGGTTGTAATGCTCAGATCAGGAGAGAATGTGTTTAGCCGAAGCTTTGATGATTTGGATGAGAGTATTGAGTATTTGGAAAAAACTGGAGTCCGGAGGGACTGCATAGGTTATGTGATTAGGAGATGCCCTACGATATTGGCATTTAGCATGGAAGAACTCAAAACGCGTGTTGAATTCTATTTGAATCTGGGAATGGGTAAGAAGGATTTTGGGACTATGGTTTTTGACTGTCCTAAGGTGCTCGGCTACTTAAGTATGGAAGAGATGAACCAAAAGGTACACTACATTTGTGAAGTGTGTGTTGACATTCATTTACTTCCAGCCCACCACTAATGTTTCCAAGGTGGTGTAATTATGCAAAACACTTGTGGTATGGAATCCGAAAAATGATAGCCAAATTTTATAAACATTGCTAAAGATCACCTTTTTGGGATTTGGGATTGCCTTTTCTAATATTGAAGCAACAAATTCTAAGCAGGTTGCATACCTGAAGGAATTTGGCCTTAGTAGTGAAGATGTTGGAAGTTTGATTGCATCCAAACCACATTTGATGGGTTGTAGTATTGAAGAGAAGTGGAAGCCTCTCATTAAGTTTTTCTACTACATTGGGATTCCTAAACGAGGAATGAGAAGAATTCTTGTCGCTGTCCCAACAGTTTTCTGCATTGACTTGCAGAACACCATTGTGCCTAAGGTATGACGATTTGCTTGCTACCATTTATTTTCATGTTTTTACTGTGATGCTCAGCTCTTAGTGCCATAACGTGTAAGTTTGGATCTCGAGAAATGGAATGGTTTTACATTGGAAAATATGAAGGAAAATGAAATACGGAGTACTACTAAATTACTTTTGAAGAAGTTATGTTGCAAAAATACCTAAACTAGACTTGTTGAGTTCAAATATATCTTTTATTTTCCTTTTGAATCTATACCTCTGGTTTCTTTCCGTAGTATTTTCCGAGTTCCAAATGCAGCCTGACAAATTTGTTTTTCTGTGTAGGTCCAGTTTTTGAGAGACATAGGCGTCCGGCAAGATGCCCTTGGAAATGTACTAGTCAGGTTCCCCCAGATATTCACATATAGCCTGGAGAAGAAAATACGTCCAACAGTTTGTCCACTCCTCCCTTTATGATTTCTTTGCTGTTGATTGAGTAGACAACATTTTGTATACACCGAGTTATTATTGCTTGATCTAGGGGTTCTTCTCTTCATCTGATTTGATTGGTTCTGATGTGATTGTAGATTTGTACTTTTATTTAAAGTTGTTTTTTATTTGATCTGGTCTCATTCCAATAAGAAATGTTGAAGAGAACAAGCTCTTAGTTCTTTCTACTCAATCTGGTCTCTAGCTTTTTTCTTTACTCTAATTGGTCAAATGGAGTAAAATAAATAGTGCATTAACTCTTGCACAAATGTGTGCCTACAGGTAATGTTCCTCTTGACAAAAGCGGGAGTCTCCCAGAGAGATATTGGGAAGGTGATAGCGACACGGCCAGAGGTATTAGGGCGCGACATCACAAACAAATTGGACCCTAACGTGAAGTACTTTCTCTCCATTGGCATATCTCTCCGGCAGTTGGGTGAGATGATAGCTGACTTTCCAGCGATTCTTCAATACAACATCGATCTTCTTCGCCCCAAGTATCAATACTTGAGAAGAACAATGGTTCGCCCTCTCCATGATCTTGTTGAATTCCCAAGGTATGAATACATATACATCATTGAAGGAAGTTGAAAAGTTTAATGATTTTGCTTAGCCAGATTACTTGAACAAGAATGAAATGTCTTCTTCTTCTTCTTCTTCTTTCAGGTTTTTTAGCTATTCACTTGATGAAAGAATAATCCCAAGACACAAAATCCTTGTAGAGAATAATATCAATTTCAAGCTGCGACATATGCTGGCAAGCACGGATGAAGAATTTGAACAAATGGTCGAAAATACCGTGGAGAGGCGCCAGAGATTTGAGTCGCTGACAACATTAGACACTTGTATTGATGTTAATGACAATTATCTTACATTTAACTGTAACATTGTATCAGAAACTAAGGTGCAAGACTGAAGGTGGTGTGAAAATAGCTGTGCATATAAATGTTAATTGTGTTCACTTTCTAATCATTTCTGTTGTTCCATAATTGCTCAGAACTACAAAGTATATGAATTAAAAATAAATCAAATGGAAAATTTCATTGCCATGTGCAACACTAAAAGAAGGGTCATTTAGCCTGGCTTCTAAAAAAAACTAATTCTGCATTTTTTTCATCCCAAAATAAGCAAAATCTTGCATTAAATTTTCAGAAGTAATCGACTCCTTGATTCTCCAAAATCAAATACGCCAGTAATTTTGAAACAAATGATTCTGAAAATCAGAATTAGCAACGAATAGAAATGTGACAGAAATCTACAGGCCGCTGGAGAAAAAGGTTATTCTGTTTAAACAGTTGAATCTTGATATCACCCGATGCAACCAACAAGTCAAATGTTGATTTTTTATAAGCAGAATAAGATGAATGAGGCTACAAAACAAAGCCTAAGTAGCTGTCTTCATCTCAGGAGCCGCAGCAGATGTAGCGTATATGGGGTGAAGAAGATAACCGTCTTTTGGCACAACATGGACCCACTTGCGTCCAGTCAGCTTGTTGCGCTCAAACTTGACGCACCCTTCTTTCAATGCAAAGAGCGTGTGATCTTTACCAAGTCCAACATAATCTCCAGGATGAAAACGGGTTCCTCTTTGACGAACAATGATGTTTCCAGGTATAACCCTCTGCACCACAAACACCATTTCATCAAGCAAAACATAACAATAGACCCAATAGGGTCCCACGAAAGTCGGGTCTTGGGAGGATGTGTGTATGCACACCTTGTACCTACTTGATAGTAAAAAGGTTATTTCCAAAAGACCCCGGCTCAGATACAAAATCATGAACAAAAAGAAGCCATTGGGGCATGACCGCAGTACGAACAAGGACAAAAGAAGCATACAAACTGACTCTAAGAGCTAGACATAAAGCACAAAGGGAAATGATCCATCTACGCAAAGAAAGATATTCTCACCTCTCCCCCAAATTTCTTCACCCCAAGATTCTTTGGTTTTGAGTCGCGCCCATTTTTTGTAGATCCTGCTGTCTTTTTCGTAGCCCAGCGTCTGAGGACTAAGCTCAATCCCTCTCCGGACGCATCTGAACCATTCAAAATTCACTTCTTTTTTTCACGTTTTAATTACCAACCACTGAATATATCTTTGTATAAATCAAGAACCAGAAACGCATAAAACAGGTGATGAAATCCATACCACGGCCAGAGCTGTAGACAGGTGCATTTGACGCCAACTCTTTGATACTTAACCTCCGAAATAGTGCTGTGAAATTCGCCATCTTCTTTGCCAATATGAAACCTGAAGAAACAATATAGTGTTCCCATTCATAAAAAATCTATCTCCATATAACAATGTGGTCTGTTTTCCGAAATTCCCTCCAGAACTGGCCAAAGATTGAAAAATGTAGACTTACCAAGCATGGGCAGAGGGGTTCTTGCCTAGACAGCCACAAAGTTTTTTCCTTGCTAAAGTATCTAATATCTATCAATTTCTTTATAATTTGCTTTAATTTTTAGCTAATTTTGTTTTTAAAAATGTAGAAAAACAAATTTGGGAAGACTATTTGAAATATCTTTGCATTGTGAATTCTAAGTAAAAAAAGAGTAAAATTTAATTACACAATTTAGACATAAATTGAACATTAATACTATTCACTTTGAATCTTCAATCAACTAGTAGTGAATAAAGGTATAAAATTCAATAGGTATAAAATCATAAATCATGAATCATACTCCGTAATAATTAAATAGCTATTTTCATAAAATAACCAAAATTAATTACCTGTGGGCTGTGACCGACTGGATTTGTCTGGAAGGACGGAGAAGATGAGGCCGGATACGGGCAGACGGCGTTCGCGACTCGGAGGCGGCACAATGAGAGAGAATCGACGGAGGGCGGCTGGGCGGAGGCGGTGACGAGAATCGCCGATGAGGGGCTAAGGTTTACAGGTCGGTCGAAAATGGATAGTGAATTGGGGATCCGAGTCGCTGATATGCATTGATAAGCTAAACGACGTAGTTCGTTCTCACTAGCTCGAGATAAATAAATTTTAATTTATAAGTATGTAAATAATCACTTATTAGAAACACTAAGTTATTTTAGAATACTAATAAATAGGGAGGAATAGTTTTAAAAATAATCTGATCAAATTTGATAAATAAAAAATCAACTTAAAAATAAGTATGTATGACTTACTCCTTATTTTTAATGACTCATAAAAATTTATAAACTAGTTTAAACAAAGAGAAACTTGTTATTAGCGCCAGGGCCGGCCCATATAGGGGACAAGGTGGCCGGTCGGGCCGGGCCCAATAAATTTGGGGGCACAGATTTTTTTAGTAATATATATATATGTGTGTGTGTGTGTGTGTGTGTGTGTGTGTGTATAAGGCCCAATAGTCTTAGACCAAAAAAACAGAAGGGAGCGGTCGAGCAGAACTACGGATTAGGAGAAATTGCCTGCCCCATTCTGACCGATCGTATTCAATATTCACGAAGACACGAAGTCAAGTGACGAACCAGATTACCAAAGACGACGTGCCACACTGCCACCGCCGATTGAGTCGCCGCCTCCACCGCCGATTGAGTCGCCGCCTCCAGGTAATTATTCATAGCTTTCCCTTTCCAATTTTGTAATTTTTATTTCTTAAATCTTAAATTTTCTTTCATTGTTTCATTATTTAAATTTAAAATCTAGGGTTAGTTATTAGTTTTAAATTTGAAATCTTTTCTAATTTCATTCTTTGAGATAGATTGAATGAATGGTTCTATATGTTATTTATTTGATTTGGATGAATTGTTTTGAATTTGNCGACGTGCCACACTGCCACCGCCGATTGAGTCGCCGCCTCCACCGCCGATTGAGTCGCCGCCTCCAGGTAATTATTCATAGCTTTCCCTTTCCAATTTTGTAATTTTTATTTCTTAAATCTTAAATTTTCTTTCATTGTTTCATTATTTAAATTTAAAATCTAGGGTTAGTTATTAGTTTTAAATTTGAAATCTTTTCTAATTTCATTCTTTGAGATAGATTGAATGAATGGTTCTATATGTTATTTATTTGATTTGGATGAATTGTTTTGAATTTGTTATTTATGATAATTATATATTTATATTAAAAAAACTAAAAACTGAAAAAAAAATTAAAAACTGAAAAATTGTTGAATTGATATGAATTTATGATTTATAAAAAAATTAAATTGAAATATAAAATAACAATTTAAAAAGGACAAATTGACGAATTGATATTAATTATATTTATTTATTTGTTTGTTTGTTTGCTTGTTTTTTTTAGTTTTTTATTCTTGATTTTACTTAGTAGAATTTATGATTTTGGATTTTATTTCAGAAATAATTCAATAGCTATGGATCCTAAACAATTATCTGGTAGTCAAAAAAGAAAAAAGAGAAAACGAGATGAAGAATTGAGAAAATCTCAATCCGGAGCTCTATATAAATTTATGAAACCTGTTGTTGAAGACGAAGAAGTAGAAGAAGTAAAAGAGATGGAAGAGCAAGAGCATCTACAAATAGAGCAAGAACATGTCGAAGAGGATGAACATTTAGAAGAAGAGAAAGAAAATTTAGAAGAGGCAGAAGAACATCTCGAGCCTATGTGTTTACGGTATGTAATTATAACACTTTAATTTTGTCATTTATTTTTTTCTTTTAATAATATTGCGTTATTTATTATTTAGATATAATTAGTTTACATATGTGAATTTTTTAGATCATTAAATAAAAGATTTTTTGGGCCTTTTTTTTGTTTCGGCCCAGGCTGATGAATCCTCAGGACCGGCCCTGATTAGCGCACTTATAAATTACAGATTGATTATACACGTTTTTTACTAGTTTATATACATAGATAAAAACCTATCAAATCTCTTTATTTTTTTTAACAAAAAAATGGCACGAGATTTTTTTTGTCCATAAATGGTGTCTCAAGTCTATGTCATACTAATTAACATTTGAAATTCATCACATCCCCTCATTTAAAATACTCCTTCTGTCCCTCATAAATCTTCTCAATAACCCTTTTTTTTGTCCACAATAGATCTTCTCATTTCATTTTTTAACAACTAAAATACCACAACTACCCTCACTTACTTTATTTATTACACCTCACCCACCTCATTTAATACACTCTACCCATTTTTCATTAAGGATATTATAGTAAACTTTCACCTTTTTTCAACTCTTCTTAAAAACCACCAAAAGTCAAAATGAGAACATCTTAGGAGGACGAAAGGAACCTACCCTTAAGATAAAAAATCAAGTTGGAACAAAATAAATACGGAGAAAAGGAAAAAGAGAATTGGGCAAGAAAATCAAAAAATAAATAAATAAAAATTAATTAAAAATAAGTGGTAAAAAAAGGGGTGGTGTACAAATGAGATACAATTTTGGTGTACCCTGCCATTGCTCAAATAAAAAATGTACATATCTCTCCTGTTTAGGTAGAAGACTCATCGTTGCCAACTGTCTGTCTGCAACACTGTAAAATCGCCTTTCTTTCTCTTTCTAGAAAAGTGGTTGGCATCTCAGTTGGCCGTACCGATCGGGTCGTCTCTGCCCGAATCAAAACCATGCCTTCTCGCAGAAGAACGCTTTTGAAGGTCATCATCCTCGGCGACAGCGGGTCAGTGCAAAACAGCTCTTACTAGGGTATCACGGACTTGCAGTTATTGAACTTATCGATTGCAAATTCTTCTTCATTTTTTTGGTTCCGGATTGAATCAATCGTGATTTAGAGCGTTGTGATAAGTATCTGATTATGATTCTGCTGCGTCTGATTTGAAATGTGTTTTTTGGCGTTTGATTTGCAGGGTCGGGAAGACATCGTTAATGAATCAGTATCCCTTTTCTTTGCTAATATTCTGTCTTTTCCCCACAATCCTATTCTATGTTGCACAGAAACTTCTTCAAGTATGCAATGTTTCCAGAAAATTTCATATTGGGTACTTTGTTTTTATCCGCTCCCTTCCTGTGCACCATAGATCCTAGTGTTGTTTAGGATTAGTTTTTCTTGTTGCGTGCCTTGAATTAAGATAATAGATATGTAAACAAGAAGTTCAGCAATCAGTATAAGGCTACCATTGGAGCTGATTTCTTGACCAAGGAAGTGCAGTTTGAAGATAGGCTATTCACTTTACAGGTTAGTGAGATGGCATTCAGATGTTTAGATCACCAATTCAATTACGGAGACTTTTGGATTTTTAACTTTGATCTATCCATCAGGTTAGGATGTTGATTCTTTTTTGCTCTAAATCTTTATGAAAATTGTTTATCTAGTTTGTGTTATTAAGCTTAACATTTTTATTTTCTTATGTAGTTATGCTTTTAGATTATAGACACAATAATTGAATTTGAAGTGACTGCCATAATGAGATTCTCATCGTATGGAAGATGGTCTTAAGATTTTTTTTTGTAAATGTAATTTCAAATTTAGATTTTCACATAGTGATAGTAATTGTTAATTCAAAATGCTCTGTAAAGAGTATGTGTTTCGTCGGTAGAAATTCCTAGGTTAAATAAACGTACACCTAAACTTATGCAGAGTATCTTTTTTAACTAGTACCATATTTTTCCTGTTCATTAGGAACAACGAATTATATTATTGCATCCTGATATTGAGCTTTGCTTCGTATCATATTGTAGATATGGGATACAGCTGGTCAGGAGAGATTTCAGAGTCTGGGGGTAGCCTTCTATAGGGGTGCAGATTGTTGTGTCCTTGTCTACGATGTAAATGTGATGAAGTCTTTTGAGAACCTGAACAACTGGAGGGAAGAGTTCCTTATTCAGGTGAAAATTTGTGTAATAAGTTGTTGATTTTGTGGTATTTGTCAGTATAACTAGATTCACAATTATACCTATTTACTACTTTTTTTGTTTGTATAAGTACTGTGATTCCTATCTAGTTTGGTCTGAAAGAATTAATTTAAGTACAGGCAAGCCCTTCTGATCCAGAAAATTTTCCATTTGTGGTGATTGGCAACAAAGTTGATGTTGATGGTGGCAATTCTCGAGTTGTAAGCTGTCTGACTACTCCCATACTGATTGTTCTTTAGTTGTGCACTATTTTAGATGACTGCATAAGTTCTCTCTTTCACAATGCTCTGCAGGTATCTGAGAAGAAGGCAAAGGCTTGGTGTGCCTCAAAAGGGAACATCCCATACTTCGAGACTTCTGCCAAAGAAGGCTTCAACGTGGAAGACGCTTTCCAATGCATTGCAAAAAATGCCCTGAAAAGTGGGGAAGAGGAAGAAATGTAAGTTCACTCATACACGATGAAGTAAATCATTTGTTTACTTATTCAGAGACCTTATGCAAAACCGACCTACCCAATGAAGTCTCACAAGTGGGGTCTTGGGTTGGGTGTATGAAAATGTTACCACTACCTTCAAAGGGCTGAGGGTTTTTTTTCAAAGATCTGCCGGTGTTGACAGACTATATCTCTATCTGTAACCATATCCATCTTTAAGAATATTAATTAGGATTGAACAAAGAGGGATCGTCATTCTTGTGAGGCTATTTCATTATCCATTAGTGATGGGGAATTTAATTTTGGATGTCTCTACTAGCATTAAATGTCTACCTTTTTTGTTTTTTTAAGAACTTGATCTGAAAAATGTACTGATTATTCTCACTGGATTTTTTGTGGTGAAGATACTTGCCGGACACCATAGATGTTGGCGGGAGCAGCAGTCAGCCGAGGGCATCTGGATGTGAATGTTAAGCAGTTTCTTTATTGTTTTGGGCAAACCGAGCTCTCCGTGTAGCGCCCTAGAGGACTATGGACAACTTGTGCCCCCATGATTTTATTCTTTTGTTTTTCTCCTGCTCTGCCACTGTTTTCCTCTTTCCTTTATGAATTGCTATGGTTGTGAAGTTGCTTTTTTTGTTTTGTTTTGTTTTTGTACATTTCCTGTATGTTAAGCAGATCAATCCACATAGTGCTTGTTGAACTTCATCGTGATAACTCATAATAACCTGTGGGTTGGCAGTGTTTCAGATGATTTACCCATATTATTTGTTTAAAAAATGGGGCAAATAATTTTTCTTTATTCGAATATGCCCTCTAATGTGGTGCATGACTGCATGGTGATCATAGCAGATGTTTACAGGTAGGATGAGAAAGATGGTATAAACATCTGCAGATCACATTGACTTAGATTCTGGCTTCATAGATTAAAGGATAATATCATGCAGGTGTGAATACATTATTTCTGGCATATTTTGACTTACATGAATGCGTACATCAAGACCCTTATAACATAATTTTCTTGAAGTAACCTTTTGAAAAAATGCAATTTAAGGTTTGTCTACATCACGTCCTTATGGTGGGACCCACTCCCATATGGCTCGGCAAAATGTTTTGTGTATCGGGCTGCCCTTTTTTACTTGCATGTGTACCAATCCTCACTGAAACAAGGAGAAAGATTATCTATGTATAGTTTGCAGAATTGCAGGAAACACGCTCCCTTTTTTGAGAGGAGAGAGCAAGATATGGAGTTCCCAGTAAACAAAATTAGTAGAGCATACTCCTGATGATTAAAGTAAATGGCAGAACTACAGGCTGGTAATCTTTTATTTCTGCTTCATTCTGAGCATATGGTTTGCTTCCATTCTATACGTTGATACTGGTGAGAGTGAAACAAGCTGCAGCATTCTTTAATTCGTTCTCAGACACGGATTGCGCTATATCTTTGAATGACGATTCCGAACTGCATATACAGTAGACATAGAAAGGTTCAGAAACTGCAACTATTTTGAATTGCATTGATAGAGTACCTTAGCTATACCACCTTTATGTGGTGTACAATTTATTGTACCTTAGCTAGTTTCTGTACGATTTCGCATCCCAAATTTTAGGAATGACTCCCATAAAGGCAGCTCATGGTGTTTCAGTCATTTTATCTTACATGAGATTGTTAAAATAGTCTCACTACTTCCTAGTAGGGGTAATGTTTGCATATACACACACTACCTAGAACCTACTCTTGTGGTATTGTTGCCGTGGTGAGACCATTAAAACATTCTCACTTCACGATAGAGTCAGTCCACCTACCACTGGTAGACGGAACACAATACGTTTCTCTCTTCTAGATGACAAAAGCATGACCTTTTCTTTAGCCATGTCATGTGTTAAGGACACATGTAGAATGGTCTTGTACAGGATAAGAGCCAAATAGTTTTGGAGTACCAAGTAAAATTGTCAAGGGGATAGTAAAACAGTACCAGAAGTACACCTCAATGTTCAACAATTAAGGCTAGAGCTTTAATTAAATGTATTACCTGGATTCATATGGTTCCTTGGAGTCAATGTATGATTGTCTATCATCAATGGTGTCAAAAAATGGATACATCATCTCATCATAATCATCATCCTCAATGTTTCCCTGCACTTGTATAGTGATGGGCTGCTCCTGTGGTGGCGCTGGCCGCGGCCCACTCCCCAACCCCATCTCTGCCGGTTCTTGTTGCACCATCGTCACCATCTGATTATTGTTATTATTATTACTGCTATTCCCGCCATTCCCATTCTCATAAAGCTGTTGAACCCAACAAGAATTGTCTCTGGAATTATCAGTATTGGCATAAGCAGAAAAGTAAGCGGATGGGTTATTATGAGAAACAGGAATGGCGGATGCCGCCGCCGTATACTGCAGTGGCGATGGATTAACAACTGTCGCCGCCGTTCCCAGCTGCAAGCAGGGAAGAAGGGGATTATTATCGGGCTGATGATGATCTGGCCTTTGTTGTTGTTGTTGTTGTTGTTGTTGTGTGTAGAATGCCAATTGGGAGTGGACGGCCATGAGCTCCTCCTCGGCCAGCTGGATCTTGAGCATCAGCTGTTGGATCTCAGCCACGCATCCGTACACCGGGTACTTGGCACGCGCGTTAGCCTCGTCTATGATGGACTTCATCGCCACTCCTCTCAGGTTTGGATCTATCTGCTTAAGTAATTTGGTAATGTTGCTCACCCCAAAGAGCCGGTGCGCGTTGTGGAACATGTCCGGCTGGTCCGCCGGAAAATACGGCGCCAGTGGGCAGTCGGATTTGCACCGCCGCCTCTGGTACCTGCACGACGCGCACGCCTGGCTCGTCCCCCCCTTCCGTGTCATCAAAATTATACGAATCTCTCCCTCTCCGATGATCTCTTTCGTCCCCTTCTGTTTCTTGTGTGTGTGTGTGTGTGTGGTTTTTTTATTTTTAAATCTTTGATTTGTTTTTGTTTCTATCTGTTCTGGGATTTGCTGTGTGCTTGTTCCATCTGTATAGAGTCTGTTTTATTTTTTTAAAAACGTTAAGGAAAAAGACTGAGTAAAAAGAGAGGAGTGAGAGAAGCGAAAATGGTGGGGATGGTTCAGCTTTAAGTGGACGACTGTTGGGGACATCGTACAAAACTACACATGTTAATCTCTTGATTATTTGTTTATTTCATTTTTTTTCGTTTTTAATATCTGGGTTAGTTTAATTTCCTAATTTTCGTATTTACTTATTATTATTATTATAATCTTTTTTTTATATATTTTTTTTCCCACTTGGCCGAGAATAAGTAGGGGTGTTCCTAAAATTAAGGGCTGCAAGAGGTCTATAACAGCATAACTAATAAAGCTGTTATTGTAATTGTATATCGTAAAGCTTTTATTTGAACCAGTGCTAAAAGGCAAATTCTAAACCAGTATAAACACATTGGGGAGCATGATAAACAAATCCTTAAGGGTGAGATGAATATTTTTTTATAAATAAAAAACACTTTTATAAATAAAAAGCACCTTTTCTGTCCCAGGTCCAATTTTGATTTTTTGTAATGTTATACGGATTTCAAGAATAACAATATGAACACGAAAAACACGCAACAAATTTACGTGGTTCACCAATATTGTATTGGCTACGTCCACGGGAAGAGGAGAATCAATTTTATTATGCAGAGGCAAGAATAAAATACAGTTTAGGATTTGTGATAACTTATTTTATTTAGATAAAATAATATTTTATAAGATAAATTTACTTAAATATTTTTATAATAATGTCTAATATTTCAATTCTATTCAATTAATTGCCAAAGTTTCTCAATTGTGAGTGCAAATAGTTAAAGTTGTACGAATACTTTAGATAGAGGTAATAAAAAATATGTAAGGATCACAATTTTTGTGGATGTTAAGTCCACTATAGAAACCCTTTATTAAAATCATTCTTCGTATATATTTTTCTCCTACAAATTTTTTTCCTTGTTTTTATTCATTTTTCCACTATTATCCATACAGTTTTTTTTACAAGTATTGATAATGTTTGGTTTGTGTGTGCGCATATATAGTTTCCATTTTCATGACCACTCTGGAATTAGTGTCAAGAGTAGCCAAAGTATGGGAAATAATATAATTTTTCAAACTTTTAACTAAGAAAAATGTTACACATAAACATTCTCCACCAAAGCCATGAAGTTCGATTAGCTAAAAGTGTGAAATTATAGAAGTGATGAAATATGTTCATCAAACACATAAACATTCTCCACCAATTGTTATGCGTTTTTTCGGATTGGCTTAGTTTTTTCTAGGGTTTTAGAGGGTTGATTGAACCGACTTGGGGTCTGATTCTTGTTTCGGTCGGTCCGATCAACCTATCTAGTAAGGATCCTTCCTGTTTAATTTATTTTTTCAGCTTAATATAGTTGTATATGTGCATATGATTGCATTGAATTGGGGACATCAAAATCCCCATTTACAAATAAAAAGCACAATTTATATTATACTATCATCATAATAATAAGAACCAATTCTCCTAGCCACCTATTTCATATTAGTTTGATATGATCGGCCGAAATGAACCAACAACAAAAAACTATATTGTGGTCATTTCGACCGATCAACAAACTACTACGTATATGTCATTAAGATTATCCAGACTGCCGCTGTTCATCATTGGAGCTCGACATTTGAACCTGCTGCGGCAGGTTAGCCGCCTTCTTCGCGGTGGTGGCGGCTTCATAGTTATCCAGCTCTTTCAGAGTGGACCTCCACCTGAAGAAACTCCCAAACAGAGACTCCATTTCTTCAAGAGTTCTCCCTCTGGTTTCCGGCATCAACGTGTAGAAAAACACGAACGAGACGACGGCGACGCTGCTGTACAAGAAGAACGCGCCGCCGATGGTGACGGCTTTGTACAGTGATATGAACGTCATGGATGTTCCCGCGCTCATCGTGCGGTTCACCGCCACTCCGACGCTGCACCCGGTGGCCCTCAGCCGCAGCGGGAATATCTCTGAGCTGTACACCCACGTGATGGGCCCCATTCCCATGGAGAAGAACGACACGTAGGACAGCACCATCGTGATGCTCAGCACCAGGGCCCACGTCACCTTGTGGTCTGTGTGGTCCACCACCGTCAACCCTATGGCCAGAAACACCATTGACGCCGCCATGCCGCCGATGCTCGTCAACAGCAACTTCCGACGCCCGAATCTGCAAATGAGAGAGTATTACACTCCGTATAAAAGACAAAAATTAATCTTAAGATTGCATCTCTCTATATCACATGCACAATTTGACCATAGAGTTATATGAACAAGAAATGAATAAAGATTATTGATGATATATACCTGTCCAAAGTGAATGTTGCAATCAATATGAACAGAGTTTTGATGGATCCGACGGCCACCGTGCACAGCAATTTGTTGTGGTCGGACTCTATCCCGGCCTTCTCGAATATCCTCGGGCTGTACAGAACCACGGTTTCGATCCCGGTAGCTTGCTGGAAGAAGTGAAAGCAGACCCCAATGAGTAGTATGTGGCGGACGGCAGGAGTCGGAGATATGAACAGTTCTCTCCACACCCCCTCTCCGCCGGCGCCCTTCGGACATTTGGTTGCCGGAATCACGTCGTCTCTGACGTGTTCCGGTATTCCGGCAGCTTCCTTGATGTCGGCGAGCCTCAGTTGTGCCTCCTCCAGGGTATCAGATGTCCGGTTCAATACGCTTTGGGCTTCGCCGAGTCGCCCTTGCATGACGAGCCAACGGGGCGACTCAGGCATGGTCAGGACGCTGAAACCTAAGAAGATTGACGGAATCGCCCCAACGCCGAGCATTAATCGCCACGTCAGATGAAGCGGGAGCTTCGAGAATACAACGTTGGACACGTATCCCAATAAAATACCTGTCATCTGTCAACCTTTAGATTCTTGACTGAAAAAATGTACAGATCAGGTGATTAAAGCCAAAGATTGAGACGTACCGACGTTGATGAAAACTTCGGGGAAGGAGGTGAGTTTGCCACGTGAGGACGCCGGAGACACCTCAGCGGTGTAAACGGGAGCAATCATGAGCGCGTACCCCACTCCGACGCCGGCGACGAAGCGGCCCGCCATGAGGAAAGTGTAATTGGCGGCGAAACCCATGAGGATGGCCCCCGCAAAGAAGATCACGGAGGCCACCACAATGGTGTAGCAGCGGCCAATCCAGTCGGAGGTCCGCCCGGCGGCGGCGGATCCAATGAGGGAGAAGACGTGGAGTATCCCGGCGAGGATCTCCACTTGGACGTCCGTTATCTTAAGGTCTTCTTTGATGTATATCACGGCTCCACTCATCACCCCAATATCTGTTGAGGATTGAATATATAAATGACAAACCAATTCAAGCTAAACTTCAAATTTGCAATTTAAGAATAAATTGAGAAAAAAATTTAGTGCAAAATTTTGTGATCTCACTAAGATTTTATGTCACCATTAAAATATAAGTTTAAATCTTTAGGATGCATTTTTTGAGATACAACCTTTGGGTTACACCCAAGATGATTGGTAATTTAAATATACACAAATAGCACTTTCAATGTTTTTAAAATTTGATCCAAATAAGTGCAAAAAATAAATTACGAAAGAGTATTAAAATACTGCATGGAAAATACTGCATGGAAAGAACATTTAAGAACAACAAAGGAGTAACTGATAGTACTAAGTATATGAGTTTAAGTATACCATAGCCAAGCAAGATGGAAGCGAGGGAAGCTAAAAGAGAGCAGGCCAGTGCATATTTGTTTCTCGGGGGCTTCTTCGCCGGAACGTGGCCGGAAAAATCAACGCCGCCGCCTTCAATGCCACCGGTACGGGTAGTGGTCGTCATGATATGGTGGCCCCAACCACTGGCTGCTGAATCAGTAATATAACTGAGTAATATAACTGCTGATGGGAGAGAGATGAGATCCACAAAGAGAGATCTATCACTATATATATATATATATATATATATATATATATATATATATATATATATATATATATATATATATATATATAGAGGCATGCATATATAGAAGTCTTGGAACGAAACTTTGGGTTTATCCATAATAATATATATCCCTATTTTTAGGCTTCTCTGTTTTTAAAGATCCTATCCGAAAGTACACTCTAAGAGCATCTCCAACCATATCATTTTAACTTGCTAAAAGTTATAATATAACTAGTTAAACACTGTTGTTCTTCTCCAAAGGGCGTGCTTTATTTTAGCAAGTTTGCCAAAAAATGAATTTGATTTGCTAAATATGACAAGTCTCTCAAAATTTAGCTAGCCAATACTTAAAAAATGAAATAACAAATAATGGTTGGAGAATGAAGCAAAAAAGTGCTTGTTATATCACTATTCACTTGCTATAATGTAAAAATAGCAAATCCATATAACAAGCATGGTTGGAGATGCTCTAAAGTGTACTTTGAATTGCGTATATTCATTATATTGTTGCTCCCTAATAACATACTCATAGAATATAATCACTTACAATTATCTTATAAAGAAAAAAAGGTGATTATTAGCTCTTGCCTTTAGCTTTAATGTCTTGAAAATAGTTATCTAAAAATAACATCTAATTTTAACATTTTCAATAATATTGATACTAACCTTAATTAAAAATCATGGTGGACAACAACACCCAAAGATAAAAATTCTTCTTCCATAAAAATTTTTCATTGACGTGACACGACATTAAAAAATTTACTACTCCGTATATTATAATACTCAATAGATAAATTCACCAAAAGTGACATTCATATATGTACTCATTGCAGAGTTAACAAGTTTTTTTTGCAAAGGTAAATTTAATTACTTGTACTCGGTAACATATCGTCGATGACTACCTACATGAACTCCCCCTACTTTGAATATACATATGTAAGTCCTTTGACCTTTCATTATATTGGGGACATCAAAACCCACACTTAAACTTACAAACCAGAACTTGTACTATCTTCATTACCATTTCTTAGTTTCATATAGATACTGATTATTCCGGCCGGCGCTGCTCCTCCGTGTTGCCCGACATTTGAATCTGCGGCGGCGGATTAGCCGCCTTCTTCGCGGCGGCGGCGGCCTCAAAATTATTTAGCTCCTTGAGAGTGGTCCTCCACTTGAAGAAACTCCCGAACAGAGACTCCATTTCCTCAAGCGTTCTCCCCCGTGTTTCCGGCATCAGCGTGTAGAAGAACAGGAACGAGACGACGGCGACGCCGCTGTACATGAAGAACGCGCCGCCGATGGTGACGGCCTTGTACAGCGATATGAACGTCATGGATATCACCCCGCTGGTCACGCGGTTCACCGCCACCCCGACGCTGCACCCGGTGGCCCTCAGCCGCAGCGGGAATATCTCCGAGCTGTACACCCACGTGATGGGCCCCATTCCGATGGAGAAGAACGCCACGTAGGCCAGCACCATCGTTATGCTCAGCACCAGGGCCCACGTCACCTTGTGCTCCGTGTGGTCCACCACCGTCAGCCCCGTCGCCAGCAACACCATTGACGCCGCCATGCCGCCAATGCTCGTCAGCAGCAGCTTCCGGCGCCCGAACCTGTCTAATGTGAAGGTGGCAATCAGAATGAAGAGAGTCTTGACGAACCCGACCGCCACCGTGCACAGCAGCTTGTCGTTGTCGGACTTTATCCCGGCCTTCTCGAAAATCCTCGGGCTGTAAAGAACAACGGTGTCGATCCCGGTGGCCTGCTGGAAGAAATGAATGCACACCCCGGTGAGTACTATGTGGCGGACGGCGGGTGTCGGGGAGACAAACAGTTCCCTCCACACCCCCTCCCCGCCGGCCCCCTTCGGGCGTTTGGTCACCGGAACCACGTCGTCTTTGACGTGTTCCGGTATCCCGGCGGCCTCCTTGATGTCGGCGAGCCTCTGCTCCGCCTCCTCCAGAGAATCGGATGTCCAGTTGAGAACGCCTCGGGCTTGCCCGAGTCGGCCCTGCATGACGAGCCAACGGGGCGACTCGGGCATGGTCAGAACGCTGAAGCCTAAGAAGATTGACGGAATCGCCCCCACGCCGAGCATGAACCGCCAACCCAGGTGAAGTGGGAGCTTTGAGAATGCAAAGTTGGATACATATCCTAGTAAAATACCTGTCAAAATGGGGGAGTGATTATATTTTAGTAATATTTTAGTAATTTCGAATTTTTAATACTCTTTTGCAAATGAATTTAGGGAGTAATTATTATCGTTATAATATGTGACAAAAATAGGCATATTAGTTCAATTATTAGCTATTGGCGTTGAATATTCAACACTCTGATTCTTCCTTCTGAGTTCTCACATGGTTTTACCACTTCCTCACCGGTTGGAATATTTTTGTCTTTTTATAGCTTTTGCATAAAAATGTCAACCAAAAAACTTTTTTTTTAAAAAAACTCAATTTTTCTTAAAATAGACTTTTGGATTGCGATGTACAATACTTCTCTAAAAAAAAATCTTTTAACTTATATAAAAATTGTTACAAAATTTAAAAAAAATAAATTATATACTCCGTATTTATATTGAATTGTGTTATGAATTTAACATTAATAGATTTATTTTAAAATATAGTTTTGAAATATCATATTTTTTATATTTTATATATGTTTAATAATAAAAAAAAAAATCAAAGTATTATCTTGTAAATCATGAAAAATCAAATAAAAAAAAAATATGGGACGGAGGGAGTAATAAAATGGGAAAATATACCATCGAGATACTCTGATCTGTTTTAAGTCGGGGACCATTTGGATATATGATGATGCAATATAAACGAATCATTTTATTTTTTGTTTGGTATCATAGAAACAATCATTTTATTTTTTGTTTCATAGAAATCTTTTATTTCTTTGTTTTGTAAATTAAAACTAGTTTTGAAACAAGAGAATTTATTTAAATAGAATTAAAATATAGTGATTTTTCTAATGTAGTAACATATGCTTTTATTTCTCAACGTGGTACCACTGGTCATTGTTCAAGTAAATGTCCACCGCCACTGGACATTATTTAAATTAAATATTCACCATCACTGGACATTGCTCTCAGCACTGGACATTATTCAAGTACTATTTAGAAAATAAAAAAATTTAAGTACTACATTGAAAAGTGACATACTCCGTATGTTTTAGTATTATTTAATGCAAAATTCACATTGAAATATATATTTTTTCATTTTATTTCTATACTAATTTATAAAAAAAAAGTAATTTCTCAAAAAATATAATACTATGCGTTATTTTTTGGAGTGAAACAATATTTTTGAGAGGAAAGGTGACAAAATTTGGAGCCTCAAGACAAAATAATAGACGTACCGGCGTTGATGAAAACCTCAGGGAAGGAGGTGAGGAAGCCGCGGGAGGACGCCGGAGACACCTCGGCGGTGTAAACGGGAGCAATCATGAGCGCGTACCCTACTCCGACGCCGGCGACGAAGCGGCCCACCATGAGGAAAGCGTAGTTGGTGGCGAAACCCATGAGGATGGCCCCCACGAAGAAGATCACGGAGGCGACCACCATGGTGTACCGGCGGCCAATCCAGTCGGAGGTCCGCCCGGCCGCGGCGGAGCCAACCAGAGAGAACACGTTCAGTATCCCGGCGAGGATCTCCACTTGGACGTCCGTTATCTTAAGGTCATCTTTGATGTACATGACTGCTCCACTCATCACCCCAATATCTGCATTTAACAAATCAATTTCAATCAAAAGTTAAAATTACAATTTAAAATACAGAACCATATTTATAAAAATCTCATTACAATTAAATTTTTTTTTTTTGTACAATTTATGATCAAAATTTATAAAATGTCAATTACCATAGCCAAGCAAGATGGAAGCGAGTGAAGCTAAAAAAGAGCAGGCCAGGGCATATTTGTTTCTTGGGGGCTTCTTCGCCGGATCGAACGCCGGAATGTGGCCGGAAACCTTAACGGCTTCTTCTTTTCCGTTAGTCATGGTGGCCGGAGATTAATTTTACCACTAGCTGAATCAGTAGTACTGGACTGCTGAGAGATATAGGAAGACAGAGCATATATAAGGCGCATAGAGGGTCAGGGCGTGCAAGGAATCTTTGGGTTTATCTGTTTATTTTTTGACTTTTCTTCCCTTTTTTTAAATACAAAATTTCAAAAAAAAAAATGCTCTCTATATATTAATTTTTAATTAATTAAAACTATCTTTCTTATTGTTAATATCTCGATTATAATATAATATTTGTTCTTACATTTTAAAGTATTGAAACATAAAGAATTGATGTTCTTAATCAATTTGAATATGATAGTTTTTTTATTAAGAGAGAGAAATAATGATGATTTTACATTCTTTAAAAAGTATGAACTTTTATGTTAAGAGAAATTTAAAAAATGTAGTATTTGTTTATTTTTAAACGAATTACTAATATATTTGAGAAAATGCATTTCACTCAACTACGTAGTACTGAAAAAGATAAATAACCTCTAAAATTTCCAAGTTAGACCGATTAATAAAAAATGAAAATCGTCTTTAATTACTACATGTAAGACTCTCAAGTCAAACAAACTTGTCTTTAATTATCCCCTACGTCCCATATTTTTTATATTGTTTGACTTTTTAAAGTCTTTAATACAACATTCTAATCATTAATATCTGTATAATTAAATCAACATAGAATACAAAAGTAAGAGATTTCAAAACTACATTTTGAAATAAATCTATCGATATTAAATTTATGTCATTATTCAAATTTGTTTATATAATTTATGGTCAAAATTTTAAAATATTGAGTACAGAAATGACAAAAGGACAAAGAGTATGGAGGCAAAGGGAATATCATTGTTGTTGGTGGGTGTACACCGCGGAGTTCAGTTGCTTGAGCAAGAAGTGCCAAAATAGATAAACTGAGTTTGATTTTCTGACAACTGTATTGTGAGGTAATCATGCTTAATGTATAACATCTATAGATACTATGTGTATGCTCTACCCTTTGTTTTACAGTCTGTGATATATAATTTAACTCGTGTGACTGTCCAGCCAATTTTGAAAAACCTTTGTTTTTATACTCCCTTCGTACCAGAGTATTTGCCCAGTTTGACTTTTTCGAGTCAAACTGGACAAACTTTGAGCTTCAATTAAATAAAAACCGTAAAGTATTTTAATATAAAAATGACTTTATTAGATTTATCGTATTGAGAACTTTCAAAAATTGTATTTTATTAATCTAATATATAATACAAATTGAGAGTAATTAGAGTTCAAAGTTTGTCCAGTTTGATTCGAAAAAGTCAAAGAGGTAGTAGTTATGATTGTTAAAAGTCTAACCCCAAGATGGCAAGATTAAAGATCTTTTACGTTCTTATTAATAACGAGCTAAACAAGTTATTAATGGCAGTAGACTTGAAGTATTACAATGATTGAGCATCCCCAACTGCGTGGGTATACGTTGACTTCATTGGGCTGGCAACGATTTGAAAGGCTATTACTCCCCGTCCCACTATATTTGTCCACTTTCATTTTTACACACCATCTAATACACTTCTTTAATCCATTTTATCTTGTAATTTGTATATTAAAAAATTATAGAAATTATATATTAATAATCTATATGTTAAGACAAATCAAACAAGATCACACATGACTATATTTAGGCTTACACATTGAGAGAATTTGATGAGTCAAAGTGCTTAGATGAACAGTTCCAAAAGTCAAAACTGGACGAATATAGCGGGACGGAGGTAGTAATTCATTAGACA